GTCTCAAAATGACCACGCTGTGCCGGCCCAGCCAGCCAGGTGTGGACTTTCTGAGAATCTCCTTGTTCCTGCTGATTTTGTTCTAACTCTCTTTCCAGACAGGGCTCAGTCCAATTCTTCAACCTTCCCTTTGATGTTCAGGGGTTCAGAGTGGTAGTTTGTAACCATTTCACTTGGGTTCTCAAGTTTTTGTGGTATGGGAATGTTAAGGTACATCTATCTAAGCTGCCATCTTCTTCCTGACTCCTCCCCTAGCTCTTTACATGCCTGCCTCTTTATGATTCAAATCTTCTCTTAGATAATATCTTGTCAGAGATGCCTTCCTTAAACACCCTACCTAAGCATCTCTCCGCTGCCCCTTTAATACACTTTTTAAAATTAACTTCTCAGCTCTAATCAGTACCTGGTATTCTTATTTATTATCTGTCTCCTCCCATTAAAAAGCAAACTTCTTAAGGGCAGGATCGTGTCTGTCTTGTTCCCCAGTGTATTTAAAACAATGTCATGGATTGAATTGTACCCCCCCCCCCAAAATGCACGTATCAATTTGGCTGGGCCATGATTCCCATTATTGTGTGATTGTCCATTTTGTCATCTGATGTGATTTTCCTACGTATTGTAAATCCTGCCTCTATGATGTTAATAAGGGGGGATGGGCAGCAGTTGTGTTGATGAGGCAGGACTCAATCTATGGGACTGGATTTTACTTTGAGCTGGTTTCTTTTGGGATTTAAAAGAGAGAAGCAAGCAGAGAGACAGGGGGACCTCATACTACCAAGAAAGCAGTGCCAGGAGCAGAATGTGTCCTTTGGACCCGGGGTTCCTGAAAGAAGACACTCCTAGTCCAGGGGAAGATTGATGACAAGGACCTTCCTCCAGAACAGACAGAGAAAAAAAGCCTTCCCCTGGAGCTGACGCCCTGAATTTGGACTTTTAGCCTCCTTTACTGTGAGGAAATAAATTTCACTTTGTTAAAGCCATCCACTTGTGGTATTTCTATTATAGCAGCACTAGATAACTAAGACAGCATTTGGTACCGAGAGTGGGGTGATGCTCTAACAGATACCCAAAATGTGGAAGCAGTTTTGAAACTGTGAATGGATACAGGAGTGGCAGCAGCAGAGAACCGGCAGCAGCAGAACCAGGAGACCAGTGCGAGACAGCAATGGAGCCTACCCACAGAGCGAGAGAGCTGAGTTCCTGTGTGCAGGAGGCTTCCTGGCAGAGTGGGGTGCTTCCAGGCACTTATTGGTAGAGCTAGGCTTGCCAACCCCTGGAGCAAGAGAGCTGAATGCCTGTGCACAGGGGGCTTCCTGGTGGAGTGGGGTGCCTTCAGGCACTTATCAGTGGAGCTAAAGAGTTTTGGAACACTTGCTCCAGCAGAGCAGATGTGGGCATGAGGCCCAAGGGCTGAGAGGCCAAGGAACCAGGAAGCAGAAGCTGAAGAGACAAGGAACACAGGAAGCCAAGCTGCCTCAGTCTTAAAAGGTAAGGCCAGGACCTCTGGGGTTTCAAAGGGTGGAGCCATGGCCTCTGGTGTTTCTAAAGGTGGAGTTGCCACTCAGATGGACTAGAAGAATGGTGCGCCTAAAGCCGAGGGAGCAGAGTTGCCGTACCTGTGGGCCTAGGAGGTGGAGCTGAAGCTCAGGACCGAGGGGCTTCCACTCAGAATCCGGAGAGTATGGCCAATACCTAGAGTCTGGAAGGCAGGACCATTGTGTAAATTGTCTCAGAGAAGACAGGATTATTTTCAAATCCTTGAGGGCTAATGTAATGTGTTCTGCTGACTTGCTTGGTGCCTATTATCACTTCTTTCCCTCTAGTTTCTCCCATTTGTAATGAAAATGTCTAGCTTGTGCCTGTTCTACCATTGTACCTTTAGAAGCAGATAACTTGTATTCTAGATTTCACAGATGAAGAGAAATTTTTGGATTTTGGACTTGGACTTAAGACTTTTGCTATGATATGATGGGGTGAATATGTTTTGCATGTTGCAAGGATGTGATTTTTGGAGGGCCAAAGGGTGGAATGTCATGGATTGAATTGTGTGCCCCAAAAATGTGTGTATCAATTTGGCTGGGCCATGATTCCTGGTATTTTGTGATTGTCCACCATTTTGTCATCTGATGTGATTCTTCCTCTGTGTTGTAAATCCTGCCTCTATGATATTAATAAGGGAGGATGGGCAGTAGTTGTGTTGATGAGGCAGGACTCAATCTACAGGATTGGATTGTGTCTTGAGCTGGTTTCTTTTGGGATATAAAAGAGAAAAGCAAGCAGAGAGACAGGGGGACCTCATACCACCAAGAAAGCAGTACCAGAAGCAGAACATGTCCTTTGGACCCAGGGTTCCTGTAAGGAGAAACTCCTAGTCCGGGGGAAGATTGATGAGAAGGACCTTCCTCCAGAGTCGATAGAGAGAAAGACTTCCCCTGGAGCTGATGCCTGAATTTGGACTTGTAGCTTACTTTACTGTGAGGAAATAAATTTCTCTTTGTTGAAGCCATCCACTTGTGGTATTTGTTACAGCAGCACTAGATAACTAAGACAGGAACATTAAGGTATATCTATCTAAGCCACCATCTTCTTCCTGACTCCTCCCCTAGCTCTTTACATGCCTGCTTCCTCATGATTCAAATCTTCTCACATATCTCCTCAGAGATGCCTTCCTGGAACACCCTACCTAAGCATCTCTCCCTTACCCCTTTACTACACTTCTTAAAATTGACTTCTCAGCTCTAATCAGTACCTGATATTTTCTTACTTATTTATTATCTGTCTCCTCCCATTAAAAAGCAAACTTCTTAAGGGCAGGATCATGTCTGTCTCGTTCCCTGATGTATTTAAAACAATGCTTGGCATATAGTAAGCTCAATAAATATTTGATGGTTGATACACACCTTTTATCTTGAAACATTCCTGTTAAAAGGGAAAGTGACTGATCATTCCCCTTTCATAAACAGAAAGAGATACGAAGAAATAACTTGTCTAAGTGAAAGATTGATCTGGTGCTAGAATCCAGGTTCTATTATTTCTAGTCCATTGCTCAAATTTGTCTGATAAAAACACCCTTTTAACACGACCACACACTAAGTCCTTGTCACCACTACCAGGATAACACTTTAAAATGATGAGGCAGGACCATCAGAACTATCTCCTGACATTGTCTATGACCTTCAGTCAGTTCCAGTAGTGGAACAATTTTGTCGTAAAATCTGCATTGCACATGCAAACTATGCCTCACAATTCCTAGCAGCAGTAAGACTACTAGGAATGAAGACTTCACACAGTGGCATCAACCACTCCTGGGTGGTACTTTCATCCATTATGATCAAGCTGTACACATGAGACATGTACACAATGTTGGCAAAGTGAAAGCCATTATTATTATTTATAGAAAATAAATGGTAAGTAATAGGAAGAGATTACTTACGGTGAACTGGTCCCACCCCACTACAAGTAGCCCACTTTGTAGCAGGGGGACCTGCTTATGTTTCAAAGGAGAAACCCTACTTACCCTTCCCCTGAATTACCCATGTCCATACTTATGTCAATTAGCAGGTGCGCTGTGCTTCAGACCAGATGCTGTGTTCACATCACTGCTGCCTCTGGCTCCTGCCACGCTACCTGGGCCCATGTGGCTCAGCTGTGCTCTAGTCTGTCACTGGGCCTCACTGAGCTTCACAGGGCTGGCATCGCCAGCTCTACCCTGTTGTAGGAAGACCCCAGCACAGGATCTTCCAAGTCTCTGCAAGCAACCCATACATGGGGGTGTCCAGCACTGTTGGTGACCTCCTGACCAGAGATACACTAGCTTCTCTCTATGGCCCATCTAGTCCATCACAGCCATCTCTCTCCATGAGCCAACAAGCTTATTGTCTTTCTCTGTCTTCAGTGTTACAGCCCTTGACCAGTATTACAGCTCTTTTATTTGGATCTAGGAGGTTCTCAGCACAGAGTCGCTGGGCCCAAAGGACTCGGCTACTCCAGGCTCTTGAATATCATGAGGTCCCCCCAAAACCTGTGAGATTGGTGCCTTCTGTAGGCAATCTCAAGGCGTGTCTCTCTCAACAGAACCACAAATTAACCAATCCCCTAGGTAGACTGCAAGCTGTTCAGTCCTACTGGGTGGATTATAAACTGCTTATGCAGCTAGTAGACAGACCAATCACTTGCAAGATGGCAGTGTGGTCAATCATTTTTAACAAACTACAAACTCAGGGCCAGAAAGGCCATATTAGAGAAACCCACTGCATTGCAGTTGAGAATACTAAAACCAGTTAATTCCATATATACCTTGTATCCTCAAGCACAACAAAATGCAGGCCTCTCAAAACATTTAACATCTCCCAAGCCATTATGCTATACTTTCTCCATCCTGGATCATCTTTCCATTTCCACCAGTCCTAACAACATTGTTTCTAATTCTATTGCAGAAAGCCACTTGCTTTTCTTTCCTTCTTTCCTCCTTCCTTCCCTCCTTCCCTTCCTTCCTCCCTCCCTCCCATCTTCTTTTCCTTCTTCCCTCCCTCCCTCCTCTTATTGATGAAAGCCGAAAGAGATACATACCAAAAAATTAAGCACATAAGGGAGTCTAAGAGAATCAAAAAAGCTTCCAGAATAAGTTATATTTAAGCTGAGCTTGAATGATAGTAGGAAATAGGTAAACTGGGAAAGAGTGTGTGGGAGGAGAGCATGGAAGAGGAGAAATAGATGGCAGAGGGAAAAGCGTGCCTGAAGGTCTGCTTCCTTCAAGAGGAAGCACACTTCAGACCCTAGCACATTTAACACATTTTCCTAGAAACCTTTCTTGATCTCTTCCATTTAATTTAGGTGTTCTTCCCATGTACACTTATCCATAGAATTCTGTAATTCCTTTATCATAGCATTCATCAGGATGTATCATTACTGCTTAACTTACCATTTCCCCACTGGACTGTAAGCTATATAAGGCAGAAACAAGACTGTGTCTGCCTATCAGTGTCTCTTCAGCCCCTAGAACTGTGGCTGGATTCATCAGGCACATAATAAATAATTATTTAATAAATGAATAGAAGGAATGAACAAATAAATGAATGTAAGTTATAACAAACTTCTGAATTATAATTTTAAAAAACCCAATGTAAAGCATGTGTGTTTACTGTATAAAAGACTTGAACAATGAATTTGTGTTTTCTATATTCAACTTAGTGCAATAGTGTACCACTCAAGCCATAACAGTGAAATAAACATTAATTATAACTTTATTATTTACTCCCAAAGCATCAATTCTATAAAACTTAAGCTTACTTTTACAGCAGTAAAAGATGCATAATAAACTTCACCATGATATCGCTTCAATTTTCTTTGTTCAGTCTTTCAACTTTTTCAAATTAGTTCTTCTCTAATTCTTTCCAGATATTTTCTTTCTTCCTTTCCTTGTTTCATTTGTTCAATAATCTTCTCTCCTAAAGAGATTATAACCCATACTCATCAATGTCTGGAAGTTACAGATGGTTAATCTCCCAAAATATGAAGTATAAAACTTAAAAGGGCCTAAAAACAGGAAGAATAATTTTCACCCAAAACTCTGTTTTGTTGGAGCAGCACAGCATTTACCACTCTGAAAATGCTGAGGAGTCATTTCTGTTTCCAAGAGGGATATATAAGGGGATTTATAAAATATATAGTTCTAGACACATGCCAGTGGGTTTCTTCCCTATTTACATCTACATGTAGAAACGAGGTAATGCTCCGAAAATTATGATTATACTTTTTGGTTTAATTCTTTGGGTAAATTTATCTTGGGCCCAAAGTTATTGTACTTAAATCTTTTTTTCCCCCGAAAAAAAAAGACACATTGCCTTCAAGTTGATTCTGACTGATAGCGACCCCACATGACAAAGTAGAACTGCTCCACAGGGTCCCCTTGGCTGCAATCTTTACAGAAGCAGATCATGAGGCCCCTCTTCAACGGTGCAGCTAAATGGGCCTGAACTGCCAACCCTTAGGTCAGCAACTAGGTGCAGACTGTTTTCACCACCTAGGGGCCTGCCTACCTACAATTTACCTATCATCTGTTTTTCTATCACATGTCTGTCTGCCTGCCTGCCTGTCTGTGTGTATAGCACCCAGCCAGCCAGCCAGCCATTTATCTTTGAATTGGAAGAAAACCCTGGGATGCCTGTTGCTGGGTTAATAGGTATAGGGTAAAGGGAGGGACAGCAGCTATACAGTTATTTTAAATGTTACCCTTCAGTTAGCCCCATTTGTAGGCTCCTTCCCCATCTTCTGTTCTTGTACTTAAATCGTTAAGTGCAATATTTATACTTTACAGTATATTTTTAAATGAAATATTACTGACTAAAAATATGCAATAATCAGTATAAAATTCACGGTTTCACATTATTTAATGTTACCTCACAGAATTGTCTATACTTACACCTATAATCATCATACTCTCAATATACAATAAAGAGACACCAGTTACTACTGGAGAAAGAGCAGGTCCACATGGAAGAGAGGGAAAATCAATTAAGATCTGGGAGGGTGACACACACTTTTTCACCTGTTTGTAAGCAAACATGGAAATCAGTAAGATCTTGTAGAGTGACACAGTCTTTTTTACCTGTCTGTAAGCATTTGATAATGCACACCAACAATGCATTTTTTACTTATGCGGTGGTGAACTCCTAAATCTGTCTTTATAGCTATATATTCTCTCTCGTGCTCCAGTCTCTCCATTCCACTGTTATTGGACATTACACACAGGTATTTCAAACTACATTTTTTTAAAAATTCATTTTCCCCAAACATGATTTCCTTCCAGTATATCTTATCTCAGTTACCTGTTGTAACTCACCTCTTTATCAGAACTAGCTTTATGATACAGAATGCCCCTTTCTAGAATCAACACTGTCCAATAGAACTTTCTGCGATGATGGAACTGTTCTATACTTGCACTGTCCTATATGGTAGCCATTAGCCACATAAGATATTGAGCGCTTGAAATGTAGCTCATGTGACTGAGGAACTGAGTTTTAAATTTTAGTTAATTTAAATTTAAATAGCTACTTTGGCAAGTGGCAACCAGATTGGACAATGCAAGTCTAGATAATATTCACTAGCAGCATACTTGAGGCTAAGTCCTGGCTCAGCACTGAAACACTTAAAACTTAAAATACAGAAAAGCAAAAAGGGCAAAGAATCATTTTAACAAATAAGAGTTTAATGTTTAACGTCTGTATACAGTATGCACTCAAAAAAACAACTTGTTCAATGAACGCAAGCTCAGTGTGTATTTAAGGAAAGGAGAGAAAGCCAATGTGGAAGAGGGAAATTTTGTACACTTAAGGATAGTTGGGTAGTTGGAAAGAAGGAGTAACTAAAACAACTGCAGAGCCTTCAATTATGACTTTCTTGTGGCCTTTCTTCTGAAAGGCTTGCATAGTACCTTCTACCATCTTTGTATATTTTATCTTATAAATATTATTTAGGAATATCTCGACCCAAAATTAGAATTATCAGTACAAAAACAGTAAAGACAGATACAATAAAAAGAAAACCAAGTTTGCAGCTACAGACTGGAAAAAAAAAAATCCTACATTTAACTGTAGTGCCTGGTTGGCACATAGTAGACATTATTAAGAATTTATTGCTTTCTGAATGATCTAGCCAAAACAGCCCTGTCTTTAAGATTCAGAACTAAGGTGCAGAAAACCTAGCCTGTTGCAACCATATATATTTAAGATGGTAAAGCAGTGGCAGTGCAGTGGCACAGTAGTTAAGAGTTTGGCTGCTAACCAAAAGGTCGGCAGTTTGAATCCACCAGCTGCTCCTTGGAAACCCTACTGGGCAGTTCTCCTCTGTCCTAAAGGATCACTATGAATTGGAATCAACCCCACAGCAACGTTTTTGGGTTTTTTTTTAATCTTTTTTTAAAATATTTTATTGTGTTTTTGGTGACAGTTTACACAGCAGTTTAGGCTCCCATTCAACAATTTCTACACAAGTTGTTCAGTGACATTGGTCACATTTTTCACAACGCATGAACATTCTCATTATTTCTGTTCTGGTTGTTCCATTTCCATTAATCTAGTTTCCCTGCCCCCTTACATTCTCATCTTTATTTTAAAGTTAATTGTTGCCCATTTGGTCTCATACAGGTGATGTTTTGTTTTTCCCTTATGTGCAGAGTAGAACTGTTCCACAGGTTTTTTTTTTTCTTTTTAATGGTACCAGATGCCTGAGTTTGAGTCCTGGCTGTGCTACTTACCAGTTTTATATCTTAGGCAAGTTACTTAATCTCTGTGGGTCTCAGTTTCCTCAACTGTAAAACAAGGGAAATAATAGTATCTCCCTCAATAAAGTTTTTGGGAGAATCAAAGGGATTAATAAACTTAGAAGAGTGCTTGCCACAGAGCAAATACTACTATATTCTTTAAATACCTATTCAGTTCCTAAGGGCTCGAAATTTATTACAGTAAAACCTGCAAAAGCCGAAACCTGTGTAAGGCGGAAACTTGTCAGAGAAGGAGACTCAAATATTTTCCACTAATAGAGAGTGATAGAAAAGTGGTGACTGTACCTCATCAAAGGCGAAACCTTGCAAGATCCAGAAAAACAAGCAGTCCTATCGAATTCTGGCTCTTACAGGTTTCACTGTATTATTATTTTTTTTATTATTTTCTTTATACATTGTGAACAACAGATTTTGAATCATAAGCAAAAATTAAAATTCTTACTCTAGTTTCTAGGACAGTTTATTTTTTCTATATGCTAATAAAGGAAATTATCTGACAGAATATCTAGCAGTAAATAAGCTTGCTTATTAAACAGGGTTATGACTACGCATTTTCAGTGGTAGTAAAGGCACTGATAGCAAAAGAGAGAAAACAAAGCATTTTTTAAAAAAACCTTTTTTACATGAGAATTATGTGGTACTTTTAGAAGTAAGATAAGATAAGGTTCATTTTCAAAAGGTTATTCTTTTTATAAATAAAAAAGCTGTTTCAGATTTACACTAATTGAAAGTAGAACTGGCACAGAAGATAATACATCTTTACAATCTCAATTAGGTATGTCAATTGAAAACTTTATTTGTCAAAAAATTTATTTATTTGAACAGATTTGATGAACTGTTCCATTTGGCAATGTTTTATGTAAATCTTAAGGTTTACGTTTCTTCATATTTCCTGTGGGTAGTACAAAGTGTTTCAGGAAATACTAGATGTAACATAAAGCAAAATGGTGGCTATTTAGTTATTTTTGAAGATTTCAAGTCTATTAGATATTATTTTACAGTATTACATGTTCTAATTATTTTCATTTTTAATTATCTTACAAATTAATAGCAAACATGACTATATAATCCAATTATAAAGAAAATATTTACATCATCACATTTTAATAAATTTTTGCATGTAAATACTTAACATGTTCATTGTATTTTAATTAAAAGAAGTCTGGAAATCTACAAGAAAACAGGGGTTTTGAACTTGCTATTTAACATATCCAAAGATCAGTAGGAGCCCTGGTGGTGCAGTAGTGAAGCGTTCAGCTGCTAACCAAAAGGTCAGCAGTTTGAATCCCCCAGCCATTACTTGGAAACCCTATGGTGCAGTTCTACTAAGAACTTAGTTTTTGAAATTTATTTTGGAAATATAAAGACAACAGTGATTCAACTTATGCTATGGAAAACAGCTGCTTTTACATAAATAATTGCAAATAGGAAATATAATTTTCTCATAATAGATGCTTGAATCATCATTTATTCTAATTTGGGGGTGGGGAATGTTCAGGGGAGACAGGATTTATGAAAGTCCAGAGTACAAGGATGCAGGTCTTCAATCTAAGTATTTATAGGAGCAAATATAAGGACAGCAAAATGTTCTTAATTGCCTTGAGAAACAGAACTGAGACTTATGTACAATTTGAAAAGCTCTTTGCAGAGATATCTTTTAGAAAGAGAATCATTAGTTGAAAAACCAATCAATGTCTTTAGATAATTCAAAGTAAAATGGAGAGGCAGAAAACCAAAAATTGACCATATAAAGAAACCAAGCAAGAAATAAATTAATAGATGTCCATGATGAAAGAATCTGAATAATTGGAAGGATTAATGACCATGCATAGAATCAGGTTCCACACCAAGTTATTCCTATTGTAAAATCTCAGATACAACCTCATCAAAACTTAGTTTAGTGGGAAAATATTAGGTATTTCTAACCTACTAATTCAAAATATTACTAAGCTATCTTCTTATTCCATGAGAACTTTTCATTCTTTATATTCTTTTTTTTTTTTTCTCCTCACTCAAGTGCCTCAGAGAACGTAAGTGTTGTATGGAGTCACGAAGCAGAAAAATTATTTTCATCAGTTTGATAACCCTAAAGAGGAGACACTAAATTGCAGGCTTTACATTTAAGATGACTGAAAAAAAAAATGTACAGAGCAAACTGCTCTCAAAGATTGTTTTTAAAAACGTATTCTAAGCAAACAATTTCCTGTTCAAATTATACATGTTTAAAAATTAACACTGATTTGTAAGCTTATTATCTCACTGTCATGGAAAAAATTTAGCATAATAAAATTCCGAAAGCAATTGTTCCTAACTAAATTATACTGTTAAAACATCTTACAGAGGAATATTTAATATAGGAAGTTGACTTGTCTCTTACCTTTGTGTTGCTGGAGCACTAAACATATTAATATGTATGTATTTTTCAAATTCAAACAATCAAAGCATTTCTTAATTCTTCATCTCTTTTTTGGATATTCTAGTATCGAAAAGCATATAGCAACACGACCAAAATGTATACATGTGTTATAATGTATTTATCTCTTCAAGAAACTAGATCCATTAACAAAGATCATTTTTCTAAATCTTAATAGTTTGACAAAAGATGCTCATACAAAAGATGCTCATCTCTGTGACAGCTTTGGTTTTAACACTTTCCACATTTCTTCAGTTTGCCATTTAGCTACAGGATGTCCAGAGTAGTCCAGAGAGTTTGCATTCCACATGCCAATGCCCCGTAAGCCATGCTGGTTTACATATGCTGCTTTTAAAGCAATGCTTCTAGGGTTATCGTACCACACTTGATGAAAACGGCCAGCAGGATCCTATACAAATAAATTAAAATGGAAATTTAAAGTATTCAGTACAGTAAGAGGGAAAATATTTCTTAAATCCAGTGATTCAAAAAGGATCCAATGAAATAATAAAAACTTTAGGGCACAATACTTTCCAGCCTCTACTACTCCATGGTTCTGTATATGATACTTTCTAGATATTATTACTTATGGCACTTAACAACAGCAGAGATTACACAACTGAGCCTCCTTCATCCCCTAAGATTTTTTCCTTGGTCTAATCCAATGATTATCACTCCAGACACACATCTGAATCACTTGCAGGGCTTTTGAAAATACAGACCCCTAGACCCCATACCACACGATATCACTGAAAACCCTATGGAGCACAGTTCTACTCTGAAACTAATGGGGTCACCATGAGTCGGAATCAACTCAACGGCAACTGGTTTTCTTTTATTTTGGTTTTACCAAACTGATATCATAGAACACTGTTCTCCATGTAGGTTTCTAAGATTGCTGTGAAACAAGGTTCTATGATAAACAAACGGTTTTATGTACTGCACGACTTGATATTGTGTGTCAATTCCAACTCACAGTGACCCTATACGAGAAAGTATAATGCCCATAGGGTTACCTAGGCTGTAATCCTTACAGGAGCATATCAACAGATCTTTTCTGCCATGGAGCCACTGGTGGGTTTAAATTGCCGACCTTTCAGTTAGCAGCCTTTTAGTTAGTACTTAACCACCATGCTAACGGGGCTCCTTGCAGGACTTCTTAGATCCTCTAATACACTGTTTTACATTATATATCTCCACGAGGGACATACAGTATACAGTGTTTTCCAAATATATTCAGCCATGGAATAAGTGTGTGTGTAATACTAACAGAGTTCTATGAAATACCATTTGGCAAAGACAGGATTACCATACACCCTACTTTAACTAATAGGTATATATACTTTAGATTCTAAAGTTTAGAAAGCTCTACACTAAAGCTTTCTATATGATTGATATACAGGCATATACATGTGTATCAATTATAATTTATTAAATGTGGTGTTTGCAGTCATAGCTTATAAATGGTTGTCAGACTATTAGTCAGGAACATAAACCCTTGCTGCTTATATCATTTTAGGGCACCTTTATAAGTAACTTAAGGAGCCCCAGAGGTGCTGTAGTAAGGTGCTCAGCTGCTAACTGAAAGATTGGAGTTTTGGATCCACCACCCACTCTGCAGGAGGAAGATGAGGCAGTCAGCTTCTATAAAGTTTACAGCCTTGGAAACCCCATGTGACAGTTTTACTCTGTCCTATAAGGTCACTATGAGTCAGAACAGACTCGATGGCAATAGGTTTGGTTTAGGTTTTGGTTTTATAAGTACCTAATCCAAAGTAAGTCGGCAGTTTGAATCTACCAGCTGCTCCTTGGAAATGCTATGCGGCAGTTCTACTCTGTCCTATAGGGTCGCTATGAGTCGGAATCGATTGGACAGCAATGGTTTTTCAGAATCCAAAGTATATTCAAAGATTGTTTGTACTTAGATGTTTGAGGTGTGACAAACATTTTATCATGCTAAAGATAAATTATGAAAAGTATAACTTTTCTTGGCCTTTTTAGTACAGCAGCTCTTATTTATCAAACAACAACTGACAGAAATGCGACTCATTTACTGTATTTCTTTAGGTTTCTTCTGTAATATTTATAATTTGTCCTTTTAGTAGCATGTAGTTTGAATTATGAAATAAGCCTGAAATGATGCAGTTTCTCCACTGATGTCCATGATGAGGCATCTCCCATTCTCAGCCTCACTCCTCCCCATGGAAAAGCCTCATCAGAATCTTTGGGCTACTTTGAAATGGAGGCTTCCACAGCTGCAGACACATTTTGGACCAAAGCCCCTTGAAAAGGCAACCAAAAAAAAAAAGAATAAAACCAAGCTCGTTGTCGTCGAGTCAATAAGAAAGAGCAGAACTGCCCCGTAGGGTTTCCAAGCAGCGCCTGGTGGATTCGAACTGCCAACCTTTTGGTTAGCAGCCATAGCTCTTACCCACTACACCACCAGGGTTTCCTGAAAAGGCATCAGCAATCATAACTGTTAACTGTTAAAGGAAATCTTGTTTATGATAATACCACATTTAATAGCATCACGTAGAGTAATAAGTGGCCCAAGAAGAGCAGATCCACTATCAGCATAACTTGAATTGCTCCTCAAGAAACTAAAATTCCTGATTACACAGATTCAAAAATAAGTTTACTCCTGTGTTATGCTCTAAAAGAAAACTGATAAAAATTCTTATATCAAATATGAAATTATGAAAACATCCAATTAAGAAAATAAATGTTCATTACTTATGAAAAGTCTTACTTTATATTTATAATAAGGAGCCTGCTGATCTTCATTCCACTGGCTTCCAGAAATAGAACTATTTACTTGCTTCATGATCACTTTATAGGGCACCTGATGTCCAGCAGCATCACTACAAGGAGCCCCCCGGAAAGGGACTTTTGCAATGGTACAAACATCATCCTAGAAATGCAAAAATGATCATGTTATAGACTATTAATTATCAATTCAGCAAATTTTAGGAACTAAATCACAGAATATTACCAAAAACTATTTGTTAGAAATAAAATCTATGTTATAAACAGATAATCTCACTATATAGAATAAAATTTAAATTAAATTTCATTATTAAATAAAAATGAATGATATTCAGAAGCCTTCATGGGACTAAATAATTAAAAATAAATTAACTACTTTTTAGTATCAAATTATATTTCAGAAATTCTAAATGAAGCTAATATTTTTCCAATAAAACAAAACAGGCTATAAGAAATATAACAATAGAAAGAGAAAAAATTACACAGCACATGAGCTGTTCTTACCGCAGACAGTTTCAGGCAAGTGTAATCGTAACCATACCAGGGAACACCCATGACAAGTTTCCTAGGGTTAATGCCCATGCTGATGTAGTCATCATATCCTAATCAAAAAGGGACAGAAAAATCAGATCTTTTCCTCTTCATGTCTGATAAGGTGTTAATATGCACTGAGACCACTTAGAATCTAAATTTGTAAAAACAGGTACAATTTATGTAAAATACTAATACAGTGTCCCTCTAATATGATATTATAGAAGTTATCCCTTAAGAACTATAAATTCCATATCTTTTTTATAAACCATTCCTTTTTGAGCAACAGAAAATATTCAAAACAATGAGATCAAATTGAAGCAAAAACTCACAAAATTTAATCTAGGAAGAACGACACATTTCAGGCAATCGTGCTAATTGTGTCTATTAAATGTTCAGACATGATCTAGTTGATATTCCAGATTCTAAAATTTCAAAACAGTTCTATAAGTCTGAACATTTCTGGCAGTGATGGTCTCAGAGTATCTTATAGAGGTCATGTTTTAAAAATATCCTATAAGTGTGAGTGACGGCTGAGGATAAGAAAACGTTCCCTGAACTCTGTAATAGATAATCTGTAGTTGTCGAAGACAAAGAGAAAAATGAACAAATTCCTGGTACTGTCCTTGCCTAGCACCACCAAGAGCTTTTCCCACCAGAGCTAGAATAAGGTAGCTGAAACTGTATGGGAAATAAAGAAGAGAAGGAGAAACAAGAACACGAGGAGTGAATCTTATTAACAATACATGGGTCAATGTATTCCAAAAGACAATTAAAATTTGTTAATTTCAAATGTATTACCAACTAAATGGACTTGTATGGACTAGGTGGTAAGTCACTCACAATGTTATTATTTCTGTTCCAAACAATTTGAAACAAAGTCTATTTATAAGCTAGAAACTTCCTCTAAATGTATAATAAATGTTAACTAGAACAATTAAATCCCTGTTCACATTTCAGAATAGAAATCCAGGTATTTGGCAGGATAGTTTGTGTGAAACATTATACTTAGAAGTTCTACCAGTCTATTATCACACTTAAATGAACAAAATAAATCAGTTCTATATTTGCACACATCCATCTTGAATTTCGGAAACCCTGGTGGTGGTAGTGGTTAAGAGCTATAGCTGCTAACCAAAAAGGTCAGCAGCTCGAATCCACCAGGAGCTCCTTGGAAACTGTATGGGGCAGTTCTACTCTGTCCTATAGGATCGCTATGAGTCAGAACTGACTCGACGGCAATGGCTAATCTTGAATATAAGTCTAAACATCCTTATAAGAGTTAAAGGGCAGAAATCTTGTGATTATGCTATGAGGACTTAGCAGAAAAGTAAATTTACCTAAGATAGCTTCCAAAGTAAACAGAAGTAAAATTATACTAAAAAAAAACGAAACCCATTGCCTGACTCATTAGTGACCCTACAGGATGGAGCAGAACTGCCCCATAGAGTTTCCAAAGAGTGCACTGTGGATTTGAACTGCTGCCCTTTTTGGTTAGCAGGCATAGCTCTTAACCATCACACCACCAGGGTTTCCAAAATTATACTAGAGATACATTATGTGCTAGAAATACAAGCCTTTTGGGGAAGGTTTAAAATTTTTCCCATAGGTGTAAATTCAATTTTCTCAGATGACTTTTGAAAGAGTAAGTGTACCACTACCTTAAGATTATTCATCATTTAAAAGGTAAGGAAAATGTGGCCTGAAATCATACAACTAAGATACAATTTTAAGAAGAACCCAAAAAGACCATGATTTAACTACTTTTTAGATGGCACACTGTTAAGTACTATTATTTCACCCATGCTATACACTAAGTTCTTTTTCATGCTTTTTTTATAATGGAGTGGAGTCAAGACAGACAGCCCATGAAATGTATCACCAGTGTTTCCCAAAATGGTGCAGTGGTCAAGCTGCTTTGCTGCTAGCCCAAAGGTCGGCAGTACGAACCCACCAGCCGCTCCTCAGGAGAAAGGTGTGGCAGTCTGCTTCCATAAAGATTTACAGCCTTGGAAACCCTGTGGGGGCAGTTCTACTCTGTCCTATAGGGTCACTATGAGTTGCAATCAACTCAAAGGCAATGGGTTTGGTTTTTTTTTGGTTTGGTTTCCAAGAATATATTCAGTGGTGTTCTTCAATATATTAATAACATTTCATGGTAAGAGTTCCTTGGACAAACAAGTTTGGGAAATGTTAAGTTTAGTGCAGGGCTTTTCAGAGCTTTTAATATTATTGTGCACTGTTAAATATCCAAGAGGAGATGGAATATGCATCATTTCCCAAATGTATGCAACCATGCACCTTTTGTTGATAGAGCACAATTATCATCTCTTCCAACAAACACAGTTTGAGAAACCCTGGATTAAATAATTACTTTTTAACTTAACAGAACAAAGTTGTCATTTTTTAAATTTTAAATAGTATGTATTTCTATTACACAATCTGACACAAGCAATTAGAACATGATACAATGAAGCCAGGATCTAAGATTTTACTTCTGCATGAAAATGTATTAAGCAGTCTTAATGTTTGAGGTACTAGGATTAATATTACTAATAAATGATCACTTCGTGGATTCTTACCAGTTAATGTCTGAATATAGGGAGCATTGGCTGCTGCAATACAGTCTGACCAGACCTGACTTTGTTCATCATATGACATCACAAAGACAAAGTCACAAGCATCTGCAATTCCAGTATAATTATAGCACCTTCCGTCTATGTTCTTCGGAGACCAAGCTACATCAAAGGTGACCTGTGGAAAAACACATACCATTTTATGTAACATGACCAAATATGCAGATTATGTCCCATGTTTTTTCGATTATATGTTTTCTGCCTCATGCTACCCAAGGGAAAAAGAACTGCTTACAATATATGAACTTAAGGTTTGACACGTAAAGAACTAGTACAGTTCTAACCAAAAAAACCAAACCCACTGCCGCTGAGTTGATTCCGACTCATAGCGACCCTGTAAGACAGAGTAAAACTGCCCCGTAGGGTTTCCAAGGAGTGCCTGGTGGGTTCCGACTGCCGACCTTTTGGCTAGCAGCTGTAGCTGGATTAAATGTGCCACCCCATACTGGACTGACCAAGACATGTATTTGGATGTTCAAGGACCAGGAAACTCTGTAGAAGAGGGATTTTAAACTCAGATGGCTTCAGAGGCCAGACTTAACTGACTGAAAAGAGAAAAGTGTAATGCGCATGAGGCTATACTGGGTCCCCTTAGCAACTGGGGAGTAAAGTCAACTAAAAGCATTCAAATATAAATGTTTTTAAAAATATTATACAGGCTAAATAGGTCATCTAGTGCCACAAGGTGACTGGCCTGAGTTGGGAGTTCAGACCCCTGATTCACAATTACGTTATACCGTAGGTTTGACACAACATTATAGTTAGAGGTGACGATGTTTTGTGGCCACAAATACAGATTCATCAACTCAAAATATTGAACAAATCATTTAAATAATCTTCTTTTATGGAAATATTAAAAAAAAACTTGAGTGATACATTTTCTTTAATTTTGAATGGTGAGCTAGCCTTCAACAAAAATGAATCTCTTCAAAACATTTTTTTTTAAATTAATTTATTTATTTTTTATTGTACTTCAGGTGAAGGCTTACAGAACAAATAGTTTCTCATGAAACAGAAGTACACATGTTGTTTTATAACATTGGTTAACAACCCCACAACACATCAACCCTCTTAACTTCTCAGCCTCTTTTTTTTTTTGGTGAAAATACACATAGCCAAAGATACACCATTTCAAAAATTTCTACATGCACAGTTCAGTGACATT